GTTTGGCGCATTGCCGGGGTTTTTTATCGTTAGCGAACCACTGGCGATGCGCCAAACCCCCGGAAAATGAAGACTGCACTTCGATATAACTTATGTACTTTAGGTTCCAGAGCGCCGGGGTTCCGAGGTGTCAGGCTCTTCGTGGGGCGCGTCGTTGTGTATCCATTTCATTTCTTTCGAGGTAAGTGATATTTCATGCGCGAAGCGCCATCCCTAATAAAACTAGTCGTTAGCACAAACACTAGCGCATCGCCGTGTTTGTGCTAACGACTAGTTTTGTGTGAAGACGACTGGTTTTGTGTGAAAGCGATCAGTTTTATTGTGACATCGACGATAAACATGTGCTAGCACCATATCTGTTGTGTGTGAATCTAATTTCATTGTGACGGAGATATTACCTCTCGAGCACCTAGTTGGCGCACCACATGGTGTCGTAGTTGGCACTATAGTCATTGCACTCTTGTTGACTAAAGCCACGCAAGCACGAGTTCTCACCGGGGCAGTAGCACGCGTTGCAGCCGGAGCATCCACGCTTGGACATGGACGTCATGGGTTCGACAGTCGACATGTGTTCGGAAGGCGCCATGGACGGGAAGGTTTTAGAAGTCGACTTGGACGGGGAATGTTTGGACGTCGACATGGACGGGGAATGTATTGAAGTCGACATGGATGGGGAATGTATTGAAGTCGATATGGACGGAAGGGTTCGAAAGTCAACATCATCGCGGGAGGATGGGAAACTCGGCATCAACGGGAAGGGTTGGGAAGGCGACATGGGTTCGGAAGGCGAGAAGGGTTGGGAAGGCGACATGGACGGGAAGGATTGGGAAGGCGACATGGGCGAGAAGGGTTGGGAAGGCGACATGGGCGAGAAGGGTTCGGAAGGCGAGAAGGGTTGGGAAGGCGACATGGACGGGAAGGATTGGGAAGGCGACATGGGCGAGAAGGGTTGGGAAGGCGACATGGGCGATAAGGGTTCGGATGGCGAGAAGGGTTGGGAAGGCGACATGGACGGGAAGGGCTGGGAAGGCGAGAAGGGTTGGGAAGGCGACATAGGCGAGAAGGGTTCGGAAGGCGACATGGACGGGGAGGGCTGGGAAGGCGAGAAGGGTTGGGAAGGCGACATAGGCGAGAAGGGTTCGGAAGGCGACATGGACGGGGAGGGATGGGAACTCGGCTTGGACGGGGAGGGTTGGGAACTCGGCTTGGACGGGGAGGGT